GCAAATATACCGGCGCGCTACTGGCAGCAATGGCACCTGTACTGGCATATACTGGGATGATGCCTTTTCTGTACTGTCTTCCTGATGCAGAGCAAGTACCAGTAATCAATTACTGATATCACCAGTAAATACGCAACACCGACACGGTACTGACTATTCCTTTGCAGCGCTTCAGTGGCATCTGTACTGGCACTATATCTGGATGATATGGCACTCTGCCATACTGGATTTCCAGTACTTGGCAGTGCCGACGCCACATTTCTGCTTTAATGCCGTTCCTTCGTTAACCTTTGTACTCAAGATATAGGGAATCCATCCCCACAACTGTTCATAAAAATTCCTTTTTCATGGCTATGGTCAATAATAAAACCTTTTTATACTTTATAAACCATCACTATCATTAACATTCCCCCTCACTTATTCTTTATCACTCTTAGTAGTATTGTTAAAAATGTTAAAATTTAGGAATACAGAATACTTTAACTGTATTTATAAAAACTTAATAATTATAAAATGGTATAATATTTCAAATTAAAAATGACAAACTGTATTAAACTTAAAGTGTACTATATTAAAATGAAAAATTAGTTAACTATTGTTTAAATATAGTATTAAATGCAAGATGTATATCTTTTCATTTATTGTGAACTTCATTTTTACTTCCTCTCCATTCACCACCATCTCTATCTCGCACCGGAAAACCAACGACTAACCACTTATAGATATCTACTGTTGTTGGTATCAGGAAACTATGTCACAACACTTCAATGAAAATATTATTCATAAAATAAGATAAAAATATATTATTCTATATGAATCTAAGTAGCATTTAGATTATTATACCTAATAACAATTTGTATATTTCAGTCAGAAGTTAATTTCTGATACCGTTGCATCTCTACCAATCACTATATTATTAAGTTGCACAACCTTTGATATTATTCAGGAATTACAGTTATTAAAGTTTCCACTTAATCTCATATCACCTTTACGTTTAACACCATAAACATTTCAAAAATGAAAATAGAATAGATAAAGAAAATTCCATATTATTAGAGAATATATATTTACCATTTTTGAATAATTCAATATCATTTTAATCCATTATCAAAATAATAAAACTCAAATGAATCGATTTTGGAGCAATCAGTCATTGTTTCTTCTTTGTAATATTTTTCCCGATATCAACGTAACTACTACTCGCGGTAAATAACGCTCAGTTATTTTGCCTCTCTTTATACAGTAGAAATCGATATAAACTGCAATGACTCAAGATCAATTTCGATAAAGGTGCATCTTTATTATGATGAATATTTTATTAAACAGATGATTATTCAAAAATTACCTAATATTAAAACTATCAATATTTATAAATATTACTAATATACCGAAACGTTCAGACAATAAAATTTTCAAGTATTCACTGTTTAATTTCTGTATCATCTATAATATAATATATATATATGCTAATAACGTAATGAGATTTGAACATATGCAAATTAAACTTTTAGATTCAATAAATAAAATGATAAACAAACGTTGTTTATTAGAAAAACTGACGTGATTTCACAATTTGAAAACTTCATGCTCAATGTGAACCACCTTTTATTTTTATAGTACCTTTTGATTTTTACCCCAGTAAATTTGTTCATAATCATCTTAGGCGATGTGGAGAATAGACACAAAAAATGTTTACTAGTTTTTGGTAAGTGGTTTTTATTGTTTATAGACATTATTACCATTGATAATATCATTGAGTATTATTAGTATTATCACTGACCGATAACTCATCGACTGATATAACTATCGACGGCTTATTACTTATTAGTGATTAGTGTAAACCGTATGAATACTACGCATGCTGCGGCCTCCTTAAATAGGTTATAGTTACTACTTACTAAATCTTATTAAAAATATCTTTTATTTATGGTAGCAAAGTATAGAATAGGAAGGCCGAAGGGGCCCTTCAAATTTGGGGGCCCTGTGCTAGTGCACCGCCTGCACATGCGTAAATCAGGGCCTGTTCATGTATATGTGTATGTATTATTTATGTCTTATTAAAATAAATTAAGGTTTTTCAATAAGGTTCTGTGAATCTCCATTAATCTGACGTTTTCGTTAATCCAACAGTCTTCTGATCTGATAATAATATGTCGGATTACCGAGACTACTGTACAGTGTATTTTGTTTGTAATCGACGTTTTGTCATTTATTATAATATAATTCTGTAGATAAAAATCAACTACAAAAATAATAGAATCATAATATATCTGAAATGCAGTTCACGATCAATCAAAATGTATATACCTAATTTAGCAGTGTAATCCCATAAAACATTAAAAATCGCATTAAATCAGTAACTGTTAAAGTTGGTCTACTGAAAAACAAATTTATCAGTAGTAAACGTATAATAATTATTTTTTTCCAAATGGAAAGTTAATCAACGATTCGACAATTTTCTTGCTATTGAAATTTAGTATATTATTGAGATAGAGTGCAGTTGGCCAAACAGGGATGTTATAGTGTTGGTCATGTGGGGTATTTAATTGTCCAAAATCATTGTTATTATCGCCCCATAAGCTTTTGATAGAAGCTTCTTTTTCTTTAGTTAGACACGCCATTTGATTATTAAATTTCATGCACATGCGCCTAGACACCGGGAGATTAAATATATTTTAATTTAAAAACAACTGATAGGAAAAAAATATTACTTACTTATACATGGTCTGTACACTATAGAGCAGTGGCACAATTTCAATTAAAAAACTGAGGGCGCTGAAGCCTCTCTATTTTTTTTTCATGTTTTCTTATGATTATGAGGTTATGAATATCTACAACCCGTACAATACCCATTATTCAATGATTATATATTTAATATTGACTATGTAAAGTGTAGAATAAGTATATTATAGTTTAATTAAAAATTAATTAATAAGCGCAATAATTAATACATGAAAAATTATTTTTATATTATAATTTAATTTTACAGTTCACTTTAACATTATGCTCTTTTTAGTTTTAGTAAAAATATGTGTCATTTCATTTATATAATTTGTATTTGTTAAGTAATTATTAATTATTTACCTTTTTTTTTTTGTCATTTGAAAAGTTGCAAAAAAGGTACACATGTTTAAAAAAAATGTATTATTTAAAAAAATAACGTGACCCACTAAAAATATGGACGCGACCCATAGTTTGGGAACCTTTGGCTTATAGTACGTTGGGTTTTATTACCCTCCAAATACGCCTAGCGCGATGTTTTAGGTAAACGGTAATCCGGACGGTCGTAATTGCCACCACTAAGTTTACAACAAATAATCTAAATCTAAATTATTTACTTTGGTTTTATAATTTTATAAAAAGTGATTACAGTATTACACGTTATTTTATTACTGTCTGCATACAGTACTCACAGAAGTTTCATCGTAAATTAAATTAAATAGATATTTGATACAATAAAAACTCTGTTTTTCTATGTATACCAACTGTTATAATTAAATTTGACGTGAAAAAAATTGGGGTGCTAAGCATACCCGAGTCCTCCCAAATTGCACCTATGCTGTAGAGTTGTAGACTGTAGAGTGTAGAGCATAGTTCAAAGCGTTCAAATTCGAATTTTGAATTTAGTTTTATCTGTGCTATTGTGTTCTATAGTTTATACCTTTAAA